TTGCATTCATATTTTTTAGAATTGTCCATACAGGTCAATAAAAAATTAATGAATGACACAATTTATTTTATTGATTAAATCACGAACGCCTTACTCCATTTTCTCGAAAATTTGGGAATACAATACTGTTATTATTAATATTACACTGCATCTATCCAAAATGGATATACGTGTCTTTGCCGATTGTAATTTTGTAAAGGAAAAATTCATTTGAAACATACGCGTAGCACGCTTCTTGACATTTGCTTTAACATTACATACATATCTTTATTTCAACTTATAGGGGTTCTCTTAAAAAATAAAATTCGCAAAATCAGATTTTATAATTTTTCCAAAAAACTGGATATGTTTTATTATTATTATTATACTTTAAGGGCGAGAGGGTTGTTCTGTCGAAATGATTTAAAAAATCATATGGAAAATAACGAATCAGGCTTAAGAATTATTTATCGCAATGGAATCCTTACTACTGGATCGAGAAATTAAATGAGTAACGTGTCAATTAGGAGTATTTTTTATAACATCTTTTATCAGAATATTATAGGGCTGCACTCTAAAACACACGAGTTCTATGCAAACTGTTATGATAATTCTTTTGACATTATTCTGTTATTTGAAACATGGCTGACTGACTCCTTCGTACTATGAGGGACATGGAATTCTGGGCAGTCTGTTCTTGTCATTTCAAAAAAATGTCAATGTAAATGCACCTTTAGCGTCAATATGATTGATATTTTCGAAAAAACTGTCAAATTAACTTTGAAATATATCAATTGGTTCGACATGCTAGCTGTATAATTTTTTAACAAATCTCGAGGAGTAGCTGCATGTTAATAGAATTGAAACAAATTTAATAAAACTTCGACTTTGTGAGTGTCAAAATGAGACATACGCTAAACATTAAAAGCGTGGTTATGAATAGCTAAGGCCTGGTTTAGAAATTTTGACAATTGTGTGACACCTCTGCCCAGTTTTCCATGTCCTCGATGGTACTACAGTGTACTTCGCTGAGACAGAAAATTTTCGATTCTTGAACGAAGTCAAGGTGGTGGAGTTTTAATTGTTCTTACGGATGCTATTACGTTTAAATCTGTGGATACTGTTCACTAATTTAGGACTGCTAATTGATACAGTTATATGCGTTGCTTTATTTAACCGGATTGATTTTCGTCTAGCTTTATTTTACATTCCTCCAAACGTTGGTGTTGATAGTTCCGAAATTTTCTTTAATGCTGTCGAAATCTTATTAGTAAATAAGAACGCTTTTGGTGGGTGATTTTAACCTACCCTACTTGGCAAGCTCTGATTCTGTTGATTGCACCAAATGCTCAACAATTTTGTAATGTTTCCGTAGTAAAGCAATACAATCCTATATTTAACACCGTCGGCAAACATGATATTTATTAGTTTCGCCACAGAAACTTCTTGATTGGTGTCTGAAGATAAGTTTTGACCTGCCCTGTAGATAAATCTAGAACTTACTTCCCCATGTGTGATGTTTGATGCTTCCCTGTGGCCAAGAATAGACGATACGACTTCGAACTTACAAATCTTGTGAATCGCGTGGGTTGAACAAAGTCGACTGGAGTTTTTTTAACCAACTTAATGAAGCGAACCTAGTTCTGGGCAGTTTCTATGATTGTTTATGCCAAATATAGGACTGGAATGTTCCCCTTGCGTCAACTCGGCGGTCAAATTTCCACCTTGGTTTTCGCCACAAATAAAGTACTAGTACTACATACTGTTGACCAAGAAGAAGCCGAGGAAGACCAAGGGACCTGGACGGAGACCTCTCCGGCGCCGGTGCGGCCGGCCGGCGACCCACAAGATGAACTCCAGGGCCCCCCTCAACCCATTACTGCACAATGAGACTTTTTATTTCACACCTTTCCCGTTCCCAAACGAAATATGCAACCATCGCCAACTCCGAGGAGGTCATCCTTTTCAAGACGATGAGCACATCGTCGTAGGTTCCACCAGGTGGAGAACCCGGTCCCGTTTAAAAAATTTTTACAGTTCATTTCATTTGTAACTGGACGCCCTATCGTTGGGAAGAAAAATTGGCAAGTCGCCCAGGTGTAATTTTTGATTCTTAACTTACGTTCATACATAAGAATTTGGAAATACTGCAATTAAAATGTTAGGATTCATAATGAAAATCTCTAAGAACTTGAAGAACATCGATACAATCAAATCTTTCTTCGTTGCATACGTCTTTAGAAATCTGATTTTTTTAACCTGAAACTTTCAAATATCTCGAAAAATAAGCACTCTGCGAAAAAATGTCCAAAATCAAACTTTAATCATGCCGCGGGGGAAGTACATTACTGCTAAAATTAGCCCCCCTTCCCTTTTTCTTTTAGGTGGGGCAGGTGTTAATTTCGAAACCTTAAATAGGAACTGCAATTTTTTATTGCAGATTCGGAGTATTTTTTAAAGTCAGTATGATTTGTGTGAAACATTTTTTTCGATTCGTGACAGATGCGCTGAACCGACGAAATTCAAATTTTTCGAATTTCTCCTACTGAGATCCTATGCATACGATTCTGGAATACTTTGGCAATAAAAATACCACGTTTTATTTATGTAAATACTTATTCAAAGTTCGTCATCATTCGTTATTCTTGTTGCAAAATTCAAATAATTTGGAAATTGTTACTTGTAGAAATGTAAATTGCTAGCGAATAAACTACTTTTCGCGTAACCCAGGAACAACGATGTGGGCAAAGTAGTTTTCTGTTCCTTCCGGAGTGCTTGATTAATGTGAGTTCCCTTGCCTCTCACATATCAGGGTGCTTGATTTAAGTGAGTCCCCTCGCCTCTCAGGTCCTCAGACCAACTCTACCGATCCAGTGACCATTGAAATCATGATCATGTACTTCATGGGCCACCATCGAATAGTGTGCTGGACAACCATCATGTTGAAGCCACATATTCTGTCGGAGTTCTAAGCTGAAGTTTTAAAGAAATGTTGGCAGTTCATTTTCCAAAATGTCTCGGTACATTTCACCATTCAAGTTGCCTTCATTAATGTGGAGACTCATTTTTGATTATTTACAAGGAAAACGTAGTATTTTTACTGCAGAATTTTGTTTATTAGAATGTCATCTGTCCTAAATATAAAAAAATATTTTAGATAAACGTACGTTTAGCCGTAGAATCCGATACTGTAATAAAAATTCGGGGTTTCTATTTAAGATTTCAAAGTTACCCCCCGCCCCACCTACAATGAGGGGGGAGGGGAACTAGTTTTTGCACCAACGGATTTCTCCATGGAATGATTAAATTTTAAATCTGGACATTTTTTTGTAGAGAGCTTATTTTTCGAGATATTTGAAAGTTTCATGTTATTAAAAATCACCCTGTATATAAAAGGCAATATGTCCCGACTGACCTATCAACGCTCAGCCCAAACCGCTAATGGTAGAAATTTGAAATTTGGAGAGGATGTTCATTTTATACTGGAAGCATCGTTTATGAAGGGATTTCTCGAAATTCATTTCCTAAGGGAGTGAGAAGGGGTGGTAAAAGTCGTGTAGGACTTTTGTAAATTTAAATTTTTACGTGAAACTTGGTATTAATTGTCTTCAACACAAATAATGAAACACGTATTTAAGCGTTTTCCGAGATTGAATGCCTAAGGGGGTGGAAAGTGGTGGCGAAGTTTAAATGGGAAAAATATTTGTATGCCGATTTTTACTGGAAACTTTGTATTAACGCCTTTCAACATGCTTTCAACACATTAGCTAGTTCGAATATACGTGTCTAAAGTGCTATTCAACTTATTTATCACAACAAATGATTATTTGATTCTTGATAAGCTGCCGCGGAAATTTTTAAAATAATTAGCTTGCTGACGATTAGTATAGACAAGCTATTTTGCAGAGATATGATATGACTCTCCCACAGAAGAGACATTATTTCTTCGAAGTTTTTAACAAATTCAATGAAGAATCATATTAAAGACTGTCCCCCTGTTTATTTTATTATCCCTACAATTATTGCTTCTACCTTTTTTATTCCAACTTACTTTTTTTTATGCTGTAAGTAGGTATTACCTATTGGACAACAAAGATATTTATTATTTTTATTATTAAAAAAAGTTTGCAAAATTTCAAAGTATTCGATTTTGCAGTTTCAAAGTTATTGTAATAATTATTATTCAATATATGTATTTTTTCCACAATCTGGATGTAAAGCGTAAAAACTCGACACGGATTCATAAACTACAAATGGGGGAATATCATATTTTATAAAATTGAAATAATATTACTGCTGTAAGTTTTGGAGATGACGTCATCCCATTGTTGGTGGGGATAATTAAACATATATATACATATAATTTGATAACAAACCATCCAGTAGTTTCGGAGATTATCTGTCTAATAAAAATTGACACATACGACAGCCAGTCAACCAGCTAGACACACACACAGACAGACAGACGGAAACAGGAGACCTAGGATAATCTATGGGTCATGAAACGTCGAGAAAACATAAAAGTAGCCAGTCGTCCGGCGCACTCGATTACAATAGTTCTAATTTTGCTAAGGTTCTGGAGTTCTCTGTTCAAAAGAATTTATTCCATCATAAAGCGTTATGTCACCCCTTGCCGACATGACTTCGTCGAAAAACAGTACACAATTATCAACTTAGTGATCTTTACTCAACATGTTTTTGAAACCACCACAAACCGTAAGAATCAAGTAGATGTAGTTTATACTGTTTAAACTGCAAAGCAATCAATGGATCGATCATTGTAGGTAGGGTAAAAACAGGTATTACCGGTCACCTAAGCAAAAATAATTAAAAAAAAATAATAATCAATATTTATTCTTTAAATGCTTTGCAAAAGTAACAAAAGGTATTTTTCTACCATTATGACAAAAATCGAGATCACAAGAAATTATAAATTTGGTATAATTATCAATTAAAAAAAAACAGTGTCTTGACCAGTATTAAACTCCATGGTGACAAATACCGGTCACCCCTTGTGTAATACCGATCAGGTACGAGCGTGGCACAAATCGCACATGTAGCCCTCAGCAGACTCATAACCCGAGCATTCAGCATGGGCCCATAGACCACATAGCACGCATCTGTACCATAATTCGTTATCTCGTTCATAATCATCACAAATAACACATTTATTTTCCAGTTCTTCTTCAATATCTGTGTCATCATCTGGTCGTAAGTCTGTCATGTCAGTATCGGAGTCCGATGTGTCGCTGCTGACAGTATCTTGAAATACTCTTTTCTTTACTTTCTTTATATCTGCAACTTTAGATTTTCTTTTCTTCGTCATTCCTGTTTTAGCTCCAGCCACATTCTTATTGGTTCTCATCATTTTCTTCGTTTCTTTTTGCACTAATGCTTCCTTGTTTGGAGTGCCTGTTATTATTATTGCATGTTGTTTTCGTGAAACACGTGTGTTTGTCTTTACTGGATTATTTCTTGAAATCGGAAGCAGATCTTTTGCGGTGACATGTTTTACACCTGATGTAGATGGTATGGGTTCAAAGTTATGTACTTGCAGTATTCTACTGGGTGTCGCATTAAATTCCTTATCTTGACTCAACAGTGATGATGAATCAAAAAACAATGTAACTTCTTCTCTGTTAAAAGCAGTGGCTTTATTCAGACTTGTTCCTTTAGCTTTCCGCACAGACAAATTATTCCTTCTCATAAAGCCTTTAAGCCAGTCCTTTCCAGCCATTTCATGAGTAGTACTAAAATTATGCTTGATGTTATTTTGTACAGCGTATTCATAAGCCATCTTTCGAATTTGAAGTGAGGTACACCCATAAAATATATTTGCTAGAAATTTAACTTGAGCAGCCATGTCTTCCTCTTGATCTTTAGTAAATACTGTATTTCTTCCTAGCTGCGGAGTATTACTATTCTTATTTTTAATTCCTTCCTGGAGAGTTGAAAACGGCATACCAGTAGATCGAGCAGCTTCTCTTATCGATTTACCTTCTTCAACTAACTTAAACGCCTTGTTTAACGAATGTTGGTTCCATTTTACTTTAATCCGTTCCTTATTTCCCTTTCCCGGCATTCTGTAACAAGTTTAAACTTGATTAAAGAAATATACCGGAAAAATTATATGACATCATAGGTATTAACTTTACTTGGGGGTATTACCGGTCACCGAAACCGGCATTACCCGACCCTTGCATTTGTCGAACAAATATTATTTACAAAAAAAACCTGTTGCAACTCGTTCAAAATACAACATCACAAATGAAAGTAAGTACATGAGTAACAAAAATGATCACCCACAATATCAAAAATGTGCATATAACTCTACTTACCTGCTATTTGCGCAGTTAGAAAAATTACATCAACTAGGCGCGAAACAAATAAACGCACACCTCACTTGAACGCGTGATTGGAACTAAGTGTGTATTGGTGCTCCTGGATGGAAAATACTTACCCCATCATGTTTATGTGTATGCATGGTAGTATAAAGCGTAATACAGAAGAAAATGTAGTGACCGGTATTGTCGCCTGACCGGGATTACCCGCGTTTACCCTACTCTACTTAAACTCAAATGCTTGCTTTTACTTACTGAAGCTTACTAGCCCTCATGAGATCTAATTTATTAGATAGAAATTTGATTGTTAAATATAACAACTTCATTTCTGAGTCTTTTTCACCTAGCTCAGGAATACCTCAAGGGTCTGGTCTTGGTCCTTTACTATTTATAATGTTTATTAACGAACTTGTAGATGTAACAGTAAATTATATGCTGCTTTATGTAGAACTGTATAAATTTGGTCTTTGAAGTTTTTCTATTTCTAATAAGTAATAAATAATTAATAAGATATCAAAGAACGCGCCCTTGTTGACTCACCCGCATATGGCATTCACGATTGTTTTTAAACAAGCAGTAAGCCAATATATTTTTTTCTTAAGTTAGCGTTAGCGTCAGGTTCTGTCATATGATGTTCCTTTTTTAAATATTCGTCTTGTTGTCAGTTTTGTCATGAATTATAATCTAAAATAAAATTAATTATGACAAATCACAACTAAACTGTCAGATTTTCATGGATTGCTCGAATTTGAAACAATCGTGAACGGTTAATATACAGCCATCCTTCTTTGGTATACATAGTCTTTCCCATTTCTACTGAAACACTGTCTTAATATGAACATTGCCAAAATTACGATCAACGAGTGTTGTTTCAAGAGAAATCGCAAAAACTTTAGACCACAAACTTTGGCCATTTCTACTGGAACGTCATCGTCATTTGTTGATCGTAAATTTGGTAACGTTTATTTTCAGACAATTTTATTACTAAAAGCCGTTCTCAAGCAACCGAAAGTTGTTACAAATGGCTACATTTTAAACAAAATCAATAAGCGGTCAGCAAATGCTGTTAACTGTAATATAAAATTGTTTTATAAACATAATTACTGCATCTAGCAGCAGGGTGATCAACTGATCAGTAGTAATTATTAAATCAGTGCAGAATTAATTAAAACCCCAACTTCTAGATTTTATCCCTTCTTATTGCAAAAACAAATTTGCACTCATATTTAAATTATCCTCGTATCTACTCGCACAATGTTTTAAAATGTTTGCATCAATAGTACTACTATACTTACGTCCAAACAACTTTCAGTATATACATTATTGCCCTGCTAAGTATATAAGATTTGGCTCTGCGCTGCTAAGTATTCTCAGTTTTAATTTTTAAGTTAATATTGTATTTTTCTTCGTGAGAACTGTAGCTACTATGTAGTGCATTTTTTTAAGTAATCATAGGGATTCCCATGTTAAATTTTACATGATGTAAATTACATCCCATGTTAACTTATATTTGAGTAAAGATTCGGACTTGAATATGCTCTAAATTACAGGGTATTTCTTAAAAAAATATATATATATATATTTGGGTATTTTTGTGGGTAATATTGTAGGCAGCCATGTAAAAACAGATGTTTACCTAAAGTTTCTAAAATTTAGGTACTCGATGATTATTACTCGTTCGATTATTGGTTTTTACTGAGCGAAATTCGTCAACATGTCGCAGTACGCAATTAAGGAAAAAGTGTATCGATAAGAGAAATTGCGCAAAATTTTGTCACATCGTCACCAGACTTACAGGTTGTCTCTATTGTGGACATCAAAAATGCAATTTCAATGAAATTATCTATTATTTTCTTGATTCATTTTTTAATTCCATCACTGTTTCTTTTCTAAAAACTGCAGTAAAGGTGTTTAATGATTAAGTTAAAATTATGCTGTCAAAAATGATGCGCAAAGCCTGCTACGATGTACGTAAACTTTTTAATCAAAATAATCAAAAAACATTTCTGGGTTTTCACCGCAACAAAAGTCAATATGGGGTCTAAAATTTAGCATGGGAATCCCTATCGCCACTTTTAAAAAAAGATGCACTGTATAAATATTCTTCTGTAATGGGACGACCCTGCCATTGTCCAAGGTTGTTCCGAGGTGTTGCCGGTGTTAGCAGGAGAGAATAGGTGAATACAACGGCTGCGAGCCGTGTGCAGGAAAAGGAAGGCGCTCTCTTCACGATTCACGTTCGCTCCGTGCGAGGACGCTACCTCCGGCCGACGGTCCTGCCGCCGTCGCGGCTGCCTTATCAATAAGTGTCGATCCGACAACAGCGCTTCCGTCCGCGCTGCTGCGGTGTGTTCCTATATTCAGCGTTCCAACCAGTGCGACCGAAATGACCTCACACATAATTGACGAATTAATTCTGACAGTTGTTGTGCCGTTGTGGCAGCAGTGGTGAGTGCGTGTCGCGTGGTGACGGTGTCATGGACCGTGCCTAGGGGATGGCCGAGCAGCGAGAGGCGCCCGAGCGCGAGCTCGAGCAGCAGATCTTGCAGATCAAGAAGCAACACCAGCTTCAGCACCAGATCCTGCTGCAGCACTTCCAGCAGCAGCAGCAGCACCTCGCCGAGCAGCACGAGCAGCAGCTGCGGCAGCACCTCAAGGAGTTCTGGGAGAGGCAAAAGCAACTGCAGGAGCTGAGGCAGAGGCAGCAGCTGGAGGCGCTGCGCAAGAAGGAGAAGCATGAGGAGAGCGCCGTCGCCTCCACGGAGGTCAAGCACAAGCTCCAGGCCTTCCTTAGGCAGAGGGCGTCGGGCTGCCCCAAGACGGCCAGGACGGAGAATTCCTGCTGGTGAGTGCAACAGCTGACTCCTGCATTCCTGCCAACCTTAAATCTGTTTGTAAACAATGAGGTCGCACCGCATTCGTTTCGTAGAAATATTTCCAGGGACTCGTTAATTGGGGTATTGTTGCGTGTTTTGATAAAAACAGCGGTTTGACGAGAAGGATTACCGAATTCTGGTAAGGTTACAACAACTCGGAAAATAAACGCAATCGATTTATACTGCTGATATGCAGGTACTGACTGTATTATTGGTTTCATAACAATCATCTCGATTCCAGCACATCTGAATTGATCATTTTTGCCGTATTCTTCCCAAAATAATGTAGTCTTGCCATAGTTACATCATATCAAATAAATGTCTTTCGCATTATTTGTTCGTATCGAATTCAGGTAAATTTTTAATTTTATCGACTTTTATCAGTTGCAGTAGTGTCATGTAGTATGTAACCAAGACATCCCAAATTGTCCAGACATTATGCTCTTTTATAATTTATGTTGATAATAATCTAAATCATCTGACCAACTGAAAATAAGTGGACGGATATTATTGAGTCATATATTAACAAAAAAAAAAAAAATCTTTGGAGAAACCAACGTTCAAACGAGAGTATGAGAAAAGCCCCCGTTTTCGCCTGTCTGTAGTATGTTGGCGATTTCATCACAAACAATCTCCGAAACTACTGGACTGATTGTTGTGAAATTTTATACGTATTTTAAGAATAGTATAGATAATAAACGGCAACCAGAATTTGACTGATCGTCTCCATCGACAAGTTGATGGCATCACCTCAAAATTTTGCATGGTGAATACCATTTAAATCTATGAAACAACATACTCGTTTATGCCTTGAGTTTTTCCCCTACTAGGGATTCAAAATTTCTCAAAAAAATCCAAATTATATTGTATTCCACTGGTAACGCGAATGTCGCGCGATTCTCTCATTGACAATTTCTGGCTAAATAACCTTAGATCAATGTTTTGGAAGTACTTATACAGGATGACAAAAAAATTAATGAATGGAGCAGTTCATTTATTTGGTCAAATCATGAATCATGGCATTTTCCCGAAAATTTGCACCACTACCACTGTTATTAGTATTGCATTGTATGTATTGATTCCAACTGATAATCTATATATGTATATTTACGTGTTCTTGCTAAAAAGTTGATGACGTCCATCACAAAATTTTGTTATCAAAAACAGACGCATAGCATGTTTCTTTATCTATAATTTAATAGTCAAAACGTATCTTTATTTTAACTTATTACCATATAAAATCGCAAAATCAAATTTTATAATTTATCTGAGGAACTGGATTTGTTTGATTGTACTTTAGGGATGAGGGAAGTTCGGTCTAAATAACCTTAGACTAATTTTTTGTGTATTTAGTTGGATTTACTTATTTATTACTTATTTGATGTTAGATACTTGCTTTCTTAGCACTATTATTATTTTATACCTACATACTTTAATAAAATACCGCAGTAAATATTGAAGTTATAAGACGTAATTTAGAAGGTACAATTAGTAAAAATAATCTTCTAATCAGCGGTATAGAATAAGCTGTATTTTTCATCCCCCATTGTGCGCAGCAGACGAAATTTTGCAGCGTGCAAGTAATAGTTTTCATTGTTTTACCCAACAATAGAAATGGAATTTTACAGGCGAAAAAATCAGTGGAATTATTTTATCCATAAACTTTTTTGGTGGTACATTACGTTCATTTTGATGCGTATAACATTAACACTAATAAATTCTAACGCAACTGTATTTTCACAACAATTGGGTAGGCATTTCATATCTTTCAGATTTCATTTAACATAATGTTACATGTAATACTAAAAATATTGTTAAAAACCAAGTTTAATGACATATTAATTGTACTACGATATTGAAAGCAAAATAAATGTAATTTTTTTCCGATTCATTGTGGACGCTACTTGTAAAATAAATTTAAACGAAAAAAATAATGTCATTAAAAAATTAATTTTTGAATGAATAACAAACACGTTTATAAAAAATTAAATTCGCGAAGGAATAAAATTGCAATTCTAACTGTATCCAACAGACAAGGAATTAGTCTGTTTCACTAAGTTGCAACAAATTCTGTAATTTCAGACTTTTATAGCAGTCTAACGGTTATTAATTTTGTTTCTGATTAAAAAAACTCTTAAGTTGTAAGGATCCAATGGGGCATTTACGTCTGCCTAATTTTAAAGATGCAAACAAAAGATACATCATCTTCGTAAACGATGTGCGAATGTTTTCAGAAGCCAAAATTTAATTATGTCAGAAACAAATACATAATCAGCGTCAAAGAAGTACAACAATAATATGTAATTGTCGACAACGTTATCTGAGACAAGAATGAGTTTTCTGGTTCAGATAACCATATCATTATTACTCTTTTCTGCTATCACTTTTAGTTGACACAACGGGGACAGTTTTCACTATTCACTACTTTGTAAAATTTACTCTAAAATAACAATTAATGATGCATGCTTTGTTTTTTTCTTGAAATAAAATCTATAAAATTATTGGATGGTAGATCAATGGTAAAATGATGTCGTTTTGATTAGTTGGACCAGTTTGCGCCTAAGATCATTGAAAATTGAAAAAATTAGGAATGAGGTGTCTACAAACCTATTTATTTATTTTGCTGTACGGTGATATGTGCTTTGTTAGTTAACATTTACGTAATTACTGGTAAAGTAAATATAGCCATTCAGATTTTGTGGAAGTGTTCGTGATAATTGTAATCTGCAAAAATAACTGTGCAGGACCTTACTTTTAATTAAAATGTTTTAGCCGAAATTCGTATAAATTGTGGAAGTTACAGTTACGCGTAACAAATCTCTGAAACGAAACTTTGTACACAATTCACTCGTGTATAATAGAGTAGAATGTGATAATATGAATTTGGTTACAATAAAATGTTCTAAAAATAGATTTCGTTGAAGGTGAATTGTAAAATCGTTCTAAAAATAACATATGAATATCAAGACAGTGACATTTTATCTGCTTGTTTAAATTTTAAAACGCCGTATAAATCCGGTATAAATCGTTTAGATATGCAATGTTGTATGTTGAGAACATAATTGACGTTAACAAAAAAATAATAATAAATGTTACGATTTAGCTGAATACGTATGTAAACAGTTAGTTTGAATGTTTTTTACGGTGCATTTATAAATTTCTCATTGGATTTATTCGATGCCAAAAGCAACAATTAGGACCTGAATGAATTGAATCTTGGCAAAATCCACTGCTTTCGTTGCTTAAAATCATACATCGTTTGTTTATCAAATATACTATGATTCTTATTTTATATCAGGGTTAATCACCTACAGTATGCTCTTTAAATTTTATTAGATCAGTTTAACTACATAGCAGATTTATTTTATAAGATAATAATTATTAAATTGAAGTGAAGGTGGAAAACATTTCTTGAAACGCACTACGTCACCAATATTTTTCCTGGAAAATTATTATGACGTGAACAGCAGATAGTTTATTTTAAAGATTTATAAAATGGGTACGAAGGTAATTAATTACGTAACAGTATTCCTTTAAGTTGAAAAACGTACTTATTGAATAAATTATTACATTTTTTGTCCTCTGCAGGCTGCTGACAATTTAATAAATATGTTAAAGTAGTTATAATATTTTTAACGAATAGAATTATCATTTATGAGTCCCACGTTAATGAATAGACATGTCTAAAAATAAAATAAACTGAGTTTATCTATGACAAAAATAGAATTGACATAAACAAAGTAACAGACAAGTTAAAGATATTTGAACAACGTTTAAATTTGTAAGTACTTTGCATTTACATTTGTATTCTTCTTAGTCTTTCCATTTTTACTAATTATTATGTTTTAGTTGCTAATTACACTAAATTTATGAACAATTCAGAAAGTTTACCAAAAAAAGTAATATCGGTTTATTGGTAAACTGGTAAATATACTAGATATAAGTCAAGATTGTGACAGATTAGTTACTATACATATACTTCATATGCAATGCTTACTTAACGGAAGTAAATTGTGTTTCAAAATTAATGCATATATGTGAGTAAAATGTCACTTGCTACTTTCCGATAGTAATGTAATTCGGTCCATCTGACGAATGGCGGATTTCACGTTTTCTTGACGTTTCGTAGCTCCTAGATTGTGAAAGAGTATTGCGTTTGTCTGTCATCTATTAAGTAGTAATTTTATTAATTACACAAATAATTATAATCTTCGAAACTTCTGGACCGATTGTTATGGAATTTTTTCGTGTATGTTAAAATTACTTTTATTAAAATTTTATAAAATAATATGGTGCAATATATTATTTGGGTTTAGAAATGCAGGGCCTTGCAAAATTAACGCCAATTTTTTTTGTAACAAATTTTGTTATTTTTTGGGTTTTGTTATACTTCTTCGACCCTGGCCACATCTTCCTGTTTCCCTTAAGGGAGGAAGAGCTCGCGATATGGTCGAATTAACCACACGAAGATGTTGATCGATGTAATCTAATCCCTTCTTCTTGCAAAGCCACTGCAACAGAACATTCTTCAGATGTGAGGTTTCTGTAAACCCGCCCAGGGGATTTATTTTTGTTTGACGTTGTCAAAATTTGCGAAAAATACCTTTAAAATTCATTGTACTTATTTTTCAAATGATACATCATTTTTTTACAAAAAAACAAAGACTTCTAATAGATCAAGGGGCACATTTTCGAATCTACTTATACACATTTTTAGTTAATAATTATGAATTAGAGACCAAATCAGAAAAAATAATAAAATTTATCTACAAAAAAATTCAATAAAATTTTGCGTTAATTTTGCGGGGCAGTGTATATAATTATGCAAATATTATATGTATAGGGGACCCCAGACAAAACTCCGCGGTCTTATATCTTGAAAACGGATTGAGATATTGAAATTCTGTAACCACTATTATTTTAGCTTGAAGTTTAATTTAGTACAATAAATCACGTAAGTGTTGCAAAT